TGCCATCGCGGACCGCGCGGAGGCCCTCACTGCCGCGGCTCGCGGCGCGTCGGAGAGAACCTGGCGCAGCTGGGCTCGGGTTGCATTCGATGGGGGAGCGAAGGCTCCCATGCTGCATCAAAGGTCAGGGCGCAGCAAGAGATCGTTGCCCCTGAGGCCGATGCCCAGCCATACACCCTCGCGGACCACACCATGTGCGAGTGGAAGCGGATCTGGGCGACCCATGGGCTGGAAGAGTCGCCTCTACCCACGGATGCACCTACTTGGGAGGGGTTGCCTAACCGGACGGTTCATGACCTACGGCAGGCCATCCGGTCGTTTTCTCTCGCCACCGCCTCGGAGCCCACCCGAATTCCACCGAAGGCGCTTGGGCACTGATCAGATGAGGCTCTCAGGAGGTTGGCCCAGATGTTCGAGGTTCCTGAGCAGCACTTACGGTTTCCCTATGACCGCCTGAATCGTGAGATGGTCCGTCTGCCTAAGGCAGATGGTGGCCACAGGCTGATTGTGCTTAGCCATACTCTGATACGAGTTTGGGCGAAAGCACGCCGATGGCTGTCGGCAGAGTGGCAACGGCTGCACAACTGCGACGATATGTGGGGCACTCGAGGCAGCCACGCATTCACGGCCTCGGCTTTCGCTCGCAACCTGGAGCAAGAGGTGGGCAGCCTCAGTGGCGACCACACACGCACCATCCTCTTTGACATGGTGAAATGTTTTGACATGGCGAGCCCCAGTGTGCTCATGCGGGAGGCACGGGAGCTGGGTTACCCGATGCGCCTGCTATGGATGTTGCTGCAGCTCTACCAGCAGCCACGGCGCATCAAGGCGCGCGGTAGCCTTTCGTGCTCCTTCGTCGCCTGTCAGGGGGTGCTGGCGGGGTGCGCACATGCCACCTACCTCATCGACTTGCTGACATACCGTGTCCTCCAGCGGACCAATAGGGTGGCGCCGACCATCAAGCCACGTTCGGCGGTGGACGATATCGGCCTGCAGATGGTCTCCCCCGACCCCGGTGATGCGAAACTGCTGCTGCGCGCTGCGATGGTGTTCACTGCAGAGGCCAGCGACCTCGGACATATTCTCCAACCTGCTAAGTCCGCGGTGGTGGCTGGGACAGCGCAGGTCCGCCTTGTGGCGCGTAGAGTCCAGCGGCGGATGCCTCGGGCGGTGCCCCGAGCCCGACATACGCGCAACCTTGGCCATGAGCTGCATGGCCCTCGTGTGCTTACGAAGGTTGAATAGAAGCGCCTGAAGGCCGTGCGGGAGCGCAAGCACCGAGTCCTCATGCTGCTCCTCCACCCTGTGGCGGACTGGGCTCATGCCGTCCGCAGGGCACGGGGCTGGAGCGTCGGGGTTGGCGGACGCGCCCCTGCGCGAGATGCGCAAATTGGCCGCGGTACTAAACGTGCGCAGTGAGAAACGCCATGTGGGCGTCACGGCATACCTCCTCACTCACCCTTCGGAGGAGCACGATCCCATTTATCATGCCACGCTGGACCTGGTCTTGAACTACGCCGCCTGGATTTGGGATGGGCGCGCGTCACCTAGCCGCCATCAAAGGGCTTGGACAGCGCTCCATGAGCGGGCTGCCCCAATCAGTTGGGCCAATGCCAAAGGTCCCTTGGCCGCGACGTGGCTGGCGCTCATGCGGCTAGCCTGGGGCATGAACGCGCCGCGTATTTAGCAGGGTGACTTGGATAATCAGCATGGCCTGTGCCGCGCGCGCCCTGCTGACCTGCGACCCTTCTTGGTGCAAGGCGTGCAGCGCTGGCAGCATGACCGCCTCACCAGCCACATGTACTCCCACGCTGGCGCGCCTATCTGGCACCGTGGGCTCAGGCATGCGGTTAAGGGTGTCCGTGGCGCAAGGCAGCTGGGAGCGTTGTAGGCCCTATGGTCTGACAACATTCCCATGCCGACCCGTAGGGGACATGAAGCTCGGCATGCCCATGCGTCCCTGCCAGGCTTGCGGGGAGGCCCTTGCGCCCGATGAATGCTGGGGCCATGTCTCCTTGGAATGTCCCGCGCTGCTGACCCGCCCCCCGCCGAAGGGGTCATGCGACCCATGGGGCAGGGGCCGACGGACCACGTCCAAGGCCTTGGACCGCGTCCAAGGGCCCGTGAAATACAGCAGGGTCTTGGTCTTAGACGACCTGCGCCAGGGGGCTCACGGCCGCCTCCAGAGTCGGGCCGACCCGACCCCACCGCCCTACTCCTGCGCCCAGCACCACAGCACCATGGGGGCCGAGGACGATGTCTTACCTGGCGTCGGGCAAGGGGTTGGCGGAGAGGTCGACTTTGGGCCACCCGATGGGTACGACGGCCATCAGGAGGTGGTGCGGCTAGACGCGCAGAGTGTCCTCTATACGCCACCAGTTGCTTCGGGACGGAGTGACCTGTTGTCCCCTGCGGCGGCGGCTCCAGCCTCGGCGCCTGGTGCATCATGCCGCGGCATCTTCCACCTCCCCCAAGGGCTGGCTGAGGTGCGCGACCAACTTATCCAAGCGGGTCTTGGATCAGGCGCGCCGAATTTCGAGCAGTTCTACCTGGTCTTTGGCATGCCCGAGCCTCCCGCCTATCTTCCATGCGCAGACGCGCGGAGGCGCGATGTCTGCCATTGGGGCGACGCCCGTGGCGTTTGGGGCCCTGTTTCTTACACCGACGGGTCTGGCTACGACTCAGGTGTTCCCGAGGTGCGGAGGTGTGGACAAATTGTTGTGCAGCTTGTTCCTTACTCTTGGCTCCCAGTTAGGGCGCGGTTCGGGCCCCTCCCGTACTTGGTGCAGACTGTTGGCCGTGCTGAGAGGTACGCGATCAGGGAGGGGCTCGACGCTTTCCCTGATCGCCAGTGTTTCGTCACTGACCTGCTGGCGCTCGCCCAGGAAGGAGAGCGCCGGTGCCCCGAGCTCGAGCAGGGTCGCGCCAAGTATGCTGGAGCGTGGCGGGGCATCTTCGTGGCCAGCCGCAGACGCACTCTGCGGGGCCCTCCCAAGTTCCGATGGGCGCCTGCGCACAGGTCCCTGGAGGAGCTCGTGGGCACAGAGCCTCAGGAGTTGCGTGACTGGCTAGGGAACGGCTGGGCAGACTACTTCGCGCGCTGCGGCGCGGCCTCTCGCGCGCTGGCTGGGTCGGTTGCCGAGGCGGCAACCGCTGCGCTGGAACATCGCCGCAAGGTCCTACAGTTAATTTCGCGGGCGGCACTGCACGCGGTGGCTCGCGAACAATGGGGGTGCGACGTGGAGGTCCCCAGGCCACCTTGCGAGCAGGCCAGGCCCATCGTGGTGGCACGAAGCACGGACCATGTCCTTGCTTCATCGTGGTGGCACGAAGCACGGACCATGTCCTTGCTTCCTGTGCCAGCCTCGGGCGGTGCCGATGTAACCAGTGCGGAGTCGCGGCCACAATTGGCCCCTCCTTCGATTCGCTGCAAACTGGCTCTCATCGCACATGTCGGCCTTCGCGCGTTGCCAGCGCTTTCAACGCCGAGTGCTTCCGCGCCTTCGGCGAGGGTCGGGCCCTCTGCAGCGACCAAGGGGCCGGCATGGCCCTGGGCACCGCATTGGCGCTCGAAGGGAGCTTGCAGCCCTCGACTCCCGCGGCCTTGGTGCCACCTGCCCTGTCCGAGGAGGTATGGGGGCGTTTTCGCCGCGTTTGGGCGCGACGTGTTCAACGGCAACGATGTCTACTGTTGCAGGCGCTGCGGGCCCCACCTGCGCCGCGGGCGATTTCCGCGCAGTGCGGAAGCTTGGCTCGAGGTGCGAAGGGCCCCCGCCCACCGAGTCCACGCGCCGCAACCGGCTAGATGCGATCAGGCGCGTCGAGAAGGGACTGTCGCCTCGTGTTCGACGTTCCCCAGCGGCGCAGCTCCCGCAAGGTGGCCCCTCTCGCAGCCACGCGGCGCGATGATCGACCATGTCGCCATTCGCTGTCGTTCCGCGGTCGGCTGGCGGCGCGGCGTCTTCTTCGGCGGCGACGCCTGCTTCGTCGACGGCAAGTTGGCCTGCGTCGACGCGCCCCTGACCCTCTTCCTCTGCGAGCGGGTCTTCCTCCACACTTTCTCCAACCTTGCCCTCTCCGCCATCGTGGCGCGAGGGCGCCTCGGCGTAGTCCGTCGGGCACGCGCCGGCGCGGCCGGCGGGGGGCGCCCGAGAGGCGCTGCGCCCCTCTTCCTTTTCGTCTCCCTCCTCCCCCTTCTCTCCCTCCTTCTCCCCCTCCCCCTCCTCCTCCTCCTCCTCCTTCTCCTTCTCCTTTTCCTCCTCCCCTTCCTCCTCTTCCTCCTCCTCCTCTTTCTCATCCTCCTCCTTTTCTTCCTCCTCCTCTTCCTCCTCTCCTCTTCGTCCTCCTTTTCCTCCGCTCGCAGCTCCTCCGCGCTCTGTTGTCTCCCGTTCCGGCCTCTCGGGTCGCTGCGGATGGCGCATGTGCGGGGGCATGTAGTGGAACAGTGAAGGGGGGCCAGCCGACCAGCCGTCAAACCGAATACCAGCATCAGCTTGAGCAGGCCCAAGGGGGATTTCAAACCGCCTTCGAGGATCTGACGACGTGGGGGCCTCTTGGCAGCTTACCCGCGCCATATTGAGGCTTCCTCGGGGCCAGTTTGATTCCCTTTTGGGCTCTTTCGGGACTCTCTTGGGGCCAATCCGGATGTCATCGATGAAAGAGAGGAAGTTATCCGTCGGGGCCTTCAAATCGTCTCCTGATGTTTTGTTTGGGCGTTCCTGTGATGCTCCTGGGCCGTCGTTTGCCCTTCTTGGCCGCTGTCGGGGCTCTCTTGGGTCATGTTGGGCCCATCGTGGGACCTCATGAGCCCGTCAGAAGCGAACCAGCGAGAAGACACGCTAGATGGGGATGTGCTTTTGGCGGGGCGGGGGCGTCGGCGAAAGACTACGCATGATAGTCAGACTCTGAGCGATGCTCACGACATGCATGAGGCACGCCATCACCACCGCCATTTTTATATATTGTGTTGCGTGCTGCTGCCCGTGTCTTCGCGCGCCGAGGAGACGTACGCTCCCAAGTTGCCGGAGGATTTCTGGAAGGTGGGTTCGCTGCCGTAGCTAAACCAGTCCGTGCGAGTTCGAAACCAAAAAGTCAGCCCAGTGCCCGTCGTTATCACAGGGCGACCGCGTTGGTTTGAAAGTGTTTTTTTTTTCCGTCCGTTTTTGCAGTTGGCGAGTTGGTTATGTTTACGTATTTGTTTGGTTTTGTAGAGCCTGGGGTGCCAGCTGACATTTCGCTCAAAGGTGGCGAGATGGACGAGGACGAGGGCTGGTGCAAACCCAAAATGCATCTACGATGTTGCAATATACAATCCCTCCTACAAGAATTTGTGTTCAGTGCGGGAAGCACCCAGTTGGAAGACAACCGTCGGATAATTTTCAATCGTGCCACAGCACCAGTCCTGGGACGTCAGCGCCGTGAATTCACGTGACTAATGCGTCCTGACAACCCTGAATCGGACCAGAACGCTGCTTTTGGGATTGCAGCCACACAACTCCTTGAACCTGCTGCCAATGTTTAGGACGAATCTGCGCAGCGCCAGGGCGATAACCACAGTTTGAAAAGCATCCGCTTTTCATCTTTGAAATTGTTGCAAATTTTCCAGACGAATGCGCGCGTTGCTAAGTCGAGCCGCAGTTTTCAAACGAACCGCCGTCCCCCCTTACAGTTCAAGCATCAGCATCATACGTCGTGATGCAGTTTCAGGAAAAAACGCCCGGACTGCCCTACCGACACGTCTGGGGATGCGACACGCAGAAGCTATCCCGAAGGAGAAAGGATAGAGGCGGGTGCGGACGAAAACGATGACGACAAGGACAAAGAAGGCGAAAAGGGTGAGGATGCGCATTTTGTGTTGCCGCAGAGGGCGCTTGGTCCAAAATGGGCGTTGGCCACCAGTAGTTGTGCAGGGTTGCAAGCACCGCCTGGCTCCCCACCGATCCGTACAGCGATGGTTTCAGCCGAAGTGGCATCGACGAGGCAGGGATCGGCCATTTCAGCAGAGGGTCAGGCTCCTCGTCCTCTCCCTGGACCTCGACCTCCCCATCGCTCTTCCCGCCGTGCTCGTGCCCCCGCCGCTCCCCCATCGCAGCCATTTTGGCTCAAGATGCCTTGTTCCCCTGGGAACAGAACGGATACCGCTAGTCCGCGTCCAGACGTCGATTCTTTGTGCTTTCACCGTGGGAGTTGGGCCCCCCCACTCAGTCTTCCTTCGTCTCTCTCATGGGACGGTTTGGGAAACCGTGGACCTGGAATACCTGCACCAATTGCGGGACATGGTCCTACAACTGGCGCATCATCCAGAATGGGTACGCATGCCACCATTGCCATTCCCCGCTGCAAGTCTGGAAGCGCGACACGGTCAAGACCAAGGCCCCACGCCGTGCCCCGTGGGCGCAGTTTCCCCCCGATCAGCACCAGCTCCTCTCCTTGTTGGAGAAGCTCCCCTCAGAGATTCGTGAGTCTCCCACTGGGGTCGCACTCGCCAACGCCCAGCAGATGGCCATTCAGAACAAACCCGAGGCAGTGCACCTCCGTATGGCCACGGCGATCAGGACGGCAGAGCAAGAAACACGTAAGTTGCACACATTATCAGTCCGCCTCCAGGCTGCCCAGGAGTACCTCGACCAATGCAAGCAGGAGCAGCTCGAGCAGGCAGCCATCTCAGTCGAGGCCGAGCCGGAGCGCATCGAGGCGGTCCGCGCGTACGAACTCAAAACCATCCAGGGTGCCGACCCCACCGCCACCTCCAACGGCAAGCGTATCGTCTTCGACATGGAAGGCCGAGTTCGAGCGCCACCAGAAGGAGATGCAGGAGGGGCAGCAGCGCTTCCAAGAGTTCCTCAAGACAGTCCGCGGGACAGTCGAGGCCCCCGCCAGCAAGAAACGCAAGAACACCGAGGGCGCAGGAGTACCATCATACCCTCCCCAGCAGGAGGAAACCGATGCCCAGCCCGTCCAGGCCCCCAAACCCGCAAAGCCCATCTCGGCCGAGCAGCAGGCGGCCGCCGCCCAGGCCGCCGAGGTAGCACTCGCAGCGGTCACGGCCGAGAGGGCGGCTGGCGCGAGCAACGTGGCGGCGGCCAATGGGGTCGGGCGCAGGACGGTTGACAAGTCTCGTTAGCAACCTGCCGGCGGTGGTGGTGCTTTTCAGTCTCGCTCCTCGAGTGGGTGACGCTGCGCGTTTCTTTTTCTCTAATATCACAGCCTGGGGCCCCAGGCTGCAAAGTACGTTCACGAGTATCGCGACCACTATAAGCTCATGGTCTTCGTGGGAACCCACGTGGGGCCACCACAGAGGCAGGATGTTAATCAGCAGTTGTCCAAGGATGGGTGGAAGGTTTCAGATGCCCCAGCACTCCGAAAGCACAATGGATATCTTGGAGGTGAGATGGTCATCGCGCGCAAACATGTAGCGACGTCCTCTCTAGATCACTTCCGCCCAGACATTGAGGCCTCGGGGCACAAGGACCACTGCCGCGTTTTCGCACCTATGGTGTGGCATTCTAAGAAGGGGGACGCCCTCATCATATCTGCCTACTTGCTTCCATCCTTGGGTTTGCGTCAAAAGAATCATGATACGCTTACAGCGTTGGCGTCTCCCCTGTTTACCATCCAGGACCCCTGGATCATACTTGGGGAATGGAATTTCGTCCCGTCAGAGTTTTCTGCGCCATATTGGGTGGAGAAGTTGGGAGGCACTCGTTGTCCCCCAGGGCGCCCGGGCCACGCGCAGTCAGGGGAAGGGCCGCATGTATGACTATGGCATAGCTGAGCGAGGCGTCGAGCCCCTGTGCACACTCTCACCTGTTCTCGACGCCCCATGGTCTCCGCATTGCGCTGTCGAAGTTGAGATCGCTCAGACGTCGGAGAATCGGTGGCATCAGGCTATGGAGATTCCCAGGCCTTTGCCATTAGCGCGTAGGCCAAAGTTGGCCCCGACCCTGACCGTTCCCGCGCTCGCAGAGGCCGACGGCCACCCGCGCACGAGCCGCCCGAGGACGACACCGACGGCACCACCATTCAGGACCCCGACGAGATCCCCACCAAGGTCCCCTTCTACCTGCCTGAGGAGACTTGGGAGCTGGCCTTGGAGGTCGCAACATCAGTCGAAGTCTCCGATTGGGCCGCTATACCAGTTGGGGATTCTCCTTGCTTGCGTCAGCCCCCCGAGGCCCAAAATTAAGCGAACTTGGCTTATGGGGTCTGGGCCCTTGCCCTAGGGGGGGGGGGGGCTGTCTCGGGCATGGAGGTCCGCCCCGATCATGCGCCCAGAGGTCGCAGGCGCGGGTTTTCGCTCGTAGGGAGGCGTTCGGGGCCCAGCCCTGGAAGAGCTCATCTTCGCGGCGACCCTGCCGAGCGCTGGGCCAGGCTCGCGGCGCTCTTGGACAGATGTGGCACCCTTTGCCGCGAAGGGCTCTGGCCCGCAGCAGCACTTCGGGAAGGGATCCAACGATGACAGACTCGAGTGGATTTCGTTGACCACGGCCTGAGTGGAAGAGGAAAGTGCGTTTGCTTCGGACATTGTATCCGCCCTTGCAAGATGACGCCGTAGCCCTCTCCCCCACTTGGTCGGTCGCGCGCCGCGCTTCCAATGTTATCCGTATTCCAACCTCCCATTCGGCCTCAACCCGCTGCCTCGGGCCCCTTCTGAGCGCTCTCGAGGGCCACCCGCCAGGGGCGGTTGGCCTGGCAGCGCAGGCCCGGCACCGTCGCCGCACATTGCGGACCACCCCCTGTGCTCAGCGCCTCGCAGGCCCACCCCGCGGCAGAGCCGCGCTGGAGTCGCCGCGCTCGCTGTGCGCCGGGCCCCGCGAGGCAGCCTCGCCCTGGGCGGCGCCGCAGGGGGGGCGGCAGAGCCACCCCGCAAGCCCATCAGTTTCAGCGGCCCCGCCTACTTCGATTGCGCGACCTGCTCAGGCCACCTCTCGGCCCGCGTCCGCGCTTATCGAGGACTTCCCCAGCATCGGCATGGGGTTCCGCGCGCGTCGGTTTCAGCGGCCCCCTCGTCTTCGAGCGCGCCCTCGCCTTTGATTGCTTCGGGCGCGCCGCTCACCGCGCCTGAGAATGCGGAGGCCCCCCCATCGGGTTCGCGGCGCCCTGCTGGGCCGGCGCATGGCAGAGCCGCGCTGGAGCCGCGCTCACCTTGCGCTGGGCCCCGCAGGGCAGTCTCGCCCGAGGCGGCGGCAGGGCCGCGCCGCAGGGGCACCGATGGCGCACTCGACCTCGACGTCAGTGCCAGCGCAGCCAGGGCAGGAGGGGGGGTCGCACGAGGATCAGCACAGGCGGGCAGCTTTCGCTCGTCTTCAGGACCTCACAACCAAGCTTGTCCGACGCGCCCAGGCCAGAGCCATGCGCAAGGGCAAGTTGCAGTTCTCAAGTTGGGTTCGCGCCCGTCGGGGACGTGAGCCTGGGGCCCTGCGTCGACGCGCCGAGGGCCCGCGCGGGGGGGGGGGCGTTGGGGCTGCAAGGCCCCGCGGGCCCCAGCGCCATCATGATTGCTCGCGCGGACTATTTGCGAAGAGTTTGTCAGGGCCCAGTGGGCATTGTTTCAGATATCTCGATGGCCTTCTGTCGGGCTGGGCAATGCGCGCGCGAACGGGCCTCGCCGCAACTCGCTCTTTCAGACCTCGACTCTGCGTCCGCGCGCACGTCGGCCAAGAAGGCCACGGGGGTCGACAATTTCACCGTTGATGACGTCGCCAGGCTACCCAGGGCTGGACGACAGGCCTGCGTCGATCTTTTCAATTTCTGTGAAGACAAAGGGACATGGCCAGCGCATATTCACGCCGCGCTCGGCGCCGCCGCCCCCAAGCCTCAGGGGGGGGGGGGGCGAGCCCGTTGACCCCTCCCTGAATCGGGCAAGATTTGGCCCCGAGCTAGGGCCTCCCCTGCCAGCGGCTGGTCTGATGGCCTTGAGGCCCATTGGGATGCGGCTCTGGTGGGACCCTCAGCTCCACGAGCTGCCACGATTCGTCTTCTTATGGGCGAGGTGGCCATGGCGAATGGCAAATACGTCGCATGCTTGCTTCTCGACTCGGCAATGTTTTATGATGGC